ATCTGGCCCCCAAATTTAGCGGAAATTTTTTTTTTCTTTGAGCCCCATACTGCTCGATAGAAAACAACATAAAGTTATTATTATTAATTGCGCGCGTTGGGTTCCGGGATTAGTGCAATCGGGCGTAGCCGCGTGTTGCAATATCGAAAATTGCCCCGCTAAATTTAGCAAAAAAATTTGGGCTAAATTATTCCGCGAAAATTAGCGCGAAGCTTTTCCAGCTACAATTTGGCGGGGAAATTTAGCTAAAGAAATTTCAACTCAATTTAGCGGAAAAAAATCACTGCTAAAGTTAGCAGAAATGATGTCCGGCTAAATCCATTGGGGAAATGTTTTCGCGATTCAACGCGCGGCTAGGTCCGCTTCCATTATTCCTCTCATGCAAAGAGGGCGTTCAATAATAATAACCTTCTCTTATTTTCCATCTAATGATGGAAAGCCCAAAAGGAAAAAGCTTAGTCGTGAGCTTGAGTGGTCCTGGGCCCCTTAAACCGGTCAGCAGCAAGCACGTGAAAGATGCGGATAAAACAAAGTCCACTGTGAAAACGTTGCGCATTTACTGTGGAAATTTGTATAAACTAATGTTCCTCCTAATGCAAATCATCGAATTAATATAAAAATCACGTACAATAATATAAGCGTAGGTCCTTAAAGGTTAGAATAACAAAATCAATATTGTCAATGCAAACACAATTTAGCAAATGTTAACCCTAGATTGTTCCGTTGTCTGCGCTCTAAAACATGTAACCGTTACCAGGCATGAAACCTCGGCACTTCGCTCTTCACGTGAGAGCCAAGCGCGAAAACCACTCGGCAAGGGGTGTCTCAAATATTTGGCTAGTTTCGTCTGCGGCATTATGTGCTGACGATTCGCTGTTTCTTGTTACTGCTGATGAGACACATCAACAAATATATGGCTAACAGAGTACTCGATTCATTAAGAGTGTGGACCGATAGAAACGCTTTAAAATAAATACCAACAAAACAGAAACCTTAATATAAAGGCCCCAAAATTAACCTTTTTCTGCAGGGGGTCGCATTTATATAAACTGGAAGAAATATTGAATTGGTTCACCCATTCAAGACGCTTGGCGCTGTTACTTCACAAAACATGTCACGCCACCATCATATTGAGTATTTAAAAAGATAAATTAACATAGGTTGTAGGTCTGGAAAGTCGGAATCAATATATACTTCCGAGGTCAGGTAAGGTATTACAATATAAATTTCAAATTTTTGCTCTTTTAAATAACTGTCACCTGGTTTGTGGTACTACCATGGCAAGAAATCTTAAGATAACACAATTATTTCAAAAACAAATGTTACGTAGAATTGCTTACGTTCAGTTGTGCTCACATACAAAAAACCTGTTCCGAATATGTATATTAAGTATCTACAACATGCTTAATTATAGGATTTCTGCGAAGTATAAGCATGAACTGTTAAGTAACCGTTCCTACACCATTTAACGGTCTGGTTCAAACTAACGCGTTCCCAATGATCAATCTCGCCACCCTGAATATTGGAATATACCTACCTGCGGATTAAACATAAAAAAATGTTATCCTACAGACTACCAAAACTGCTTCTCTTTTTTATTCTCAGTGATATTCACTTAGATGCCATCAGCATAAAAAAGGTGCGTGCCTTGATGTGCCATTTTGTTTTAGGCCACTGATACTTTTAGTGAGCGTGTTTTATTTTAGTTTTCTTTTGCCACGTCACTCTTGTAAAATTTAATTTGGGGGCCGAGAGCTGGTCAAAGCGTTTCGTGCGGCTGTTTTTCTCGGTCTCCATTACAGTGATAAGAATACAAAAATGTTATTATTAATATTATTTTTCCTTTGTGGAGTGCTTCTCACCGCGCACTGGTGTACTGCAGTAGTGCACCGATACGGCACGGCGGCGTCAGCGAGAAGTTCTTGTGGCGACACTTCGGACCGCCGCCTATTGGAGACCTGAACATGGAGGTACTTCCAGTCGGTACACGGTCGTCAGGTTCCCACCAGCCAAGATACGAGGTGGTGCACGTATTGCGTTAAAAGCCTTACTAATCTCGATAGCAATGATGCATATTTATGGTTCAGATGAGCCCGTAGTTTAATGTTGGCTGCTATTCGGTTTAGCATTTTAATATATTGTTCGAGGTTGCCTCGGGGCGACACACTGTTCAAGGGGGGAGTAATGCCGCGTCCATCACCGAGAACGAACGCTTCTCGGCACATCTAGAAGAATCGAGCTTTTTCGTACACCGAGCGTAAAAGATATCGAGGCAAGAGCGACCTTGACTAGTCAGTCTCACCCTTGCACACTCCCGAACTTGATAGGTCAAAAGTTCTAAATTCCGAATGGCGTGGATGCAAAGCCCAGCGCGGTCTCGCCGACTCATTCACTCTCTCCCTAGCCAAATGTCACGCCGACACACCATTGCTCGCTCCTGCCGCCTTCGACGCTCGCTGCTGCTTTCTCATCGCTTGTTCTTTCTTCTTTGTCTGGCACGTCTTTGCCGATTTAAGTATTGTTTAATTTCGTAGTTATTTTGTCTCTTCTTTTTCATCCAAGAAGATATAACTTGTGGTCATGTACGGAAACACCTGTACCATGACGAGAATTCGGTCTCCTGGCAATGTGATCTTTTTCCTATAACAACGTACCACTGTTGAGTGCAGCCCTTTACCGGTAACCATTAAACCCATGGCGGCGGCCGGTATTAGATACCGGGTCACCCGTATTCGTGTACCGGAAACCGGTATAACCGCGTTAGTGGACGATGCATGAATTCTGGTGACCTGTATGGACTTCTGTAGACCGGTATAAATATGTACCGGCTTTCTTCCTGAAAGGTATCTATGATATCAACAGAAACCGAAAGAAGTCAATCCTTTGTCACAATGAAGCAATGGTGAGGGTGCAGGCTAGCTGGTGTAGGGGATCTGTCGGCAACTTGGAGTTGGCGCCATCAAAATTGTTTTTGACTGGAATGTACGGGGGCTTGGGAAAAGGAAGAGGGAAGGGGTGGAGTTTTGGGAAAAGGAAGGGAAAAAGAGGGGGACGGAGGGTGGCGAGTGACATATATGTTTTTCCTGTGAAATAAAGTTTGTAGCTGCGTTTGAGACTTCGTCCCTGTCGTTCTGTGTTTTGTCCCTTGTCCGTATCCCCAGTCTCGGGTTACAACTATGCTCTTTGTCACAACACGTGCTTTTTCCGAAGCGTTTTTTTTTTCTTTTCACGACAACGCTTTGCACGATTTGGCCCCATTCTAGCCAAACCGTTTGTCTAGCTTCTGATTTTTTAAATGTCATTAGGTGATCAAAAATGTGTAGCACAGCCGAAATATTACTGCAGCATCACTGCAGCATATAAAAAAACGCTCTATCGCAGTAGTGTATAATTTCATCATTCAACAATTTGTGGCGTCAAACCGTGGAAATCGAGTCGGAAACAAAATGATTTTGGATATAAATTTTATATAACCTGAATATTAAAGTTTTCGAGACCTTCAAAGTGTATATAAAATTTTAGATCAAGGTCTATAACAAGGACACTGAGTTATATCAAACTCTCTGTCAGCTTCTCCGCAGTGCTGTTTGAATTTTCGTTGGCATATTCTTGGTGGTTCAGTAGCGTGTTCCTCTGTGACCATCAGGAAACAGACTGAAAAATGAAATGAGTTTTAAATATAACATTGAACTGTTGTGCAAAATTTATGTTCAATTTATGCGTGGTTGAATAATGTGCTACTTAAACAAAACATTAAAGCAATTTTTAGTTGTCCTAGCAACAATTTGAACACACTGAAAGACTGCCTAACGCTCCTGGATTTATAAAAATGCCATTTCACAATATCAAAAACAACTCGTTATTAGGTTATAACTTATACTTTTTAAAACAACGAATAAAACTGCGTATTTCGATATAAATTTATAGATGCTAGAAAGTATCTTTAATACACTATCACGATACATTTGTATAGCGGATACTGCCCAGCCCTAATTTAGGGCTAGAGTGTAGTTGTTATGCAATTTGTTCCCTGTTGTGAAGCACTTGCATTTATTTTGTTCCTATATTATGTTTTGCTTGGAACAAGAAAAATACTTATTTTTTTAGCGTTATACTTTGATTGAATTGTAACGAAGGTTGATAATATACAAAACCAATTAAAATAGGTAACTGTACAATAGAAAATTGCGTACTGTATGCCTTTTATGTGCGCTAATAAATGACGGACCAATCGCTTTTATGTCATAGATGTTAACAGCTCACTGCTGAACGAGGTAATTCTTATTTGGCTGGCAGTACTTTGTGACAAAAGCCTTTTTGTGCTTGCACACTTTTTTAGGGGACAGTGTCAGCCTCAAGAAATCTGTATGTACAGTGGTCACCAAACTTAAGCGGAACTCAAAAACGCTGTCTTATGTTAAGGAGGATCTTTCCTGTCTGCGGCTCAAGAACGGCTCAACGTAGCGGTTACAGAACAACCCGAGCAGGAGAGGCCACTTGGTGGATCGTGGACACGACGCTAATCTTAGAGCCCGGCCAATGAATACTTACCGCCAGCTTTCAGATGAAGGGGCGTATATGGGGGAGTGGGCATGGAAGCTTTGCAGCGATGAGGTGGCTTATGTTTTTCGTCTTGCCGCAGCTCCTGTCCGTGTCAGCGCGTGCGTCCCCTTCCAGCCGGCGACACGATGACGGCGCAGCTTTGCTCCGGTTGACGGGCCGCGAGCTACCATCCGCCACGCGCTCGTCGACCACAGTGTTGCCCGCTGGGATCAAGATCACAGAGGACCTCGCTCGTGCTATGCCATCAACAGCGACATCAACGGAAGCGCCTACAAAGGGACCCCCCCGGCTACAGCGCGCCAGTGGGCATGGAAGCTTTGCAGCGATGAGGTGGCTTATGTTTTTCGTCTTGCCGCAGCTCCTGTCCATGTCAGCGCGTGCGTCCCCTTCCAGCCGGCGACACGATGACGGCGCAGCTTTGCTCCGGTTGACGGGCCGCGAGCTACCATCCGCCACGCGCTCGTCGACCACAGTGTTGCCCGCTGGGATCAAGATCACAGAGGACCTCGCTCGTGCTATGCCATCAACAGCGACATCAACGGAAGCGCCTACAAAGGGACCCCCCCGGCTACAGCGCGCCAGTGGGCATGGAAGCTTTGCAGCGATGAGGTGGCTTATGTTTTTCGTCTTGCCGCAGGTTAGTAGTCGTAAACCTTGCCACTGTTTTAGGTCGAATTATGTTTGCCTAGTTGTGCTTCCATGCCCCGGAGCTGTTATTGAATCTTTTAGAGCGTGTATTGAATCTTTCAGAGCTTTGTTGCTTTTGTTGTCTGGGGATGTAGAGAAGAACCCAGGCCCTATGAGCAAACAACAAGAGGATGAATTCCTTGCGCTTGTGCAGACGGTCGCGAAACTTCAGAGTAGCCTTGCTCTTCTGCAACAAGAAGTAAACCTACTAACACAAAAAAACATAGAAAGCGAAAAATCTGCTTCCGCTCTAGAAGAACGCGTTATCAACCTAACAACTGAACTCGACTTACTAAAGCAGAAGGAAATCGGTAACGTCACACCTACCGAACCTCAGCTTACTACAGCTCTAAACGAACTTTCGCAGCTGAAAACTCGTTGTGACGACGCGGAGGGCAGATCCCGTCGTAACAACCTTCTATTTTTTGACGTCACTGACACCGATAGGGAAACGTGGGCCCAGTCCGAGGGCTTGGTAACCGGCCTGTGTTCCAGTAACCTAGGCGTGAATATCGAATCAAGCAAAATTGAAAGAGCGCACCGCTTGGGAGCGTTCAATCCACAGAAATGTCGCCCTATAATTGTGAAGTTTTCATCATTTAAGGATAAAGAGGGCATTCTTTCGTCGGCATTTAAGCTCAAAGGAACACGTGTAGCCATCAGTGAAGATTTTCCCATTTCTGTCCGACTTGCGCGCCGTCACCTTCTTGATTTTGCCAAGCCTAAAGGCACGACTTACAAGCTGCGTCACGATAAGCTGTTTTTAGATAATAAGTGTTATGTATATGACGCCGCTCTTGGTGCCGTGAAGGAAAAAAGTGCATAGCAATGCCAGCGTTCATTTCGTTTTTCGTCACCCAATCAACCTGCAAAACGCCGTGATATCTGTAACAAACCTTCTTATCATTCTATTTTATTTACTAATATTAGAAGCTTGATACCAAAAAGAGATGATGTGATTTCCTTGGTTGAGGCATGCAACGCAGATTTCCTTGTGCTTACCGAGACGTGGCTAAGCCCCGATATATCCGATACTAAACTTTTTCCTTTGTGTTCAAACTTTCGTGTGTATAGGTGTGATAGATCCGCTAGGAGGGGGGGTGGTGTGCTTTTAGCTATAAATAATCACATTCCGTCCCGGGTTATACCAATTCTTACTGACTTAGAAGTTGTATTTGTGTACGTCGCTACGACGCCCCCCGTAATAGTGGCTGTGTGCTATAGACCGCCAGATAGTGATAAAGAACTTGTTAACAAGCTATACAAGTGTATTTCTGAAATCACCACTAAATACCCTAACGCCTTTGTTACTCTCTTTGGTGATTTCAATTACCCGAACGTTGACTGGTCTGCCCTCTCTTCTAGTTGCGCATTGTCTCAAGAATTTATAGACTTTTGTTTAGATTTCAACTTTACAAATGTTATCACTCAGCCTACTAGGATTACTAATCACTGTAGCAATATACTCGACTTGTGCTTAAGCCAAGACCCCTCACTCTTCAGTAACATCACATACTTACCCGGCATTAGTGACCATCTCGTCATCGATTTAACTCTCTCTCTCTCTGCTCCTCGTAGATCACATTACTGCAAATTCATTCGCAATTACGCGAAAGCTGATTACGCATCAATCAACTCGAACCTCGAAGATTTTTATCATACTTTCTCAGTTAACTTCTGGGAAAGAACGGTTAATGAAAACTGGACTCTATTCAAAGATAAAATGATCTACCTAATTGAACGCTTTATTCCACTGACCCGTATTATATCTGACAACACTAACATCACATACTTACCCGGCATTAGTGACCATCTCGTCATCGATTTAACTCTCTCTCTCTCTCTGCTCCTCGTAGATCACATTACTGCAAATTCATTCGCAATTACGCGAAAGCTGATTACGCATCAATCAACTCGAACCTCGAAGATTTTTATCATACTTTCTCAGTTAACTTCTGGGAAAGAACGGTTAATGAAAACTGGACTCTATTCAAAGATAAAATGATCTACCTAATTGAACGCTTTATTCCACTGACCCGTATTATATCTGACAACACTAACCCTTGGTACAATAAAACAATTCATAGTCAATCCAATAGGAAAAAAAGACTCTGTAAGCGGACTAAGGCTGTCAACACTACGGCTTCTTGGAACGCCTACTACGAATGCGCTAGGGCTTATAAATCAGCAATAAATCACGCCAAAACCAAATTCTATAGTATCGACCTCCCCAACATACTAACCACGAAACCAAAGAAGTTTTGGAAAATAATCAATCCGGCACTTTCACTTCCTTTGCAATTTGTAGATGACGACGGACTTCCGCTTTCTGATAAACACGGCGCTCTTGCTATTAACAATTTCTTCTGCTCCATCTTTACTAACGAGGACTTACTAAATATTCCCGACTCGTGCCAATCCATTCACCCTCTCATGGATCCTATCGTAATTGACCGTACTGGAGTACTTAAGGCTATAGATCAACTAAAGGTGTCCTCCAGCTCCGGAGATGACCAAATTAACTCTAAGGTGTCCTCCAGCTCCGGAGATGACCAAATTAACTCTAAGGTATTAATAAACACTAAACACATTTCTTCCACTTTCCTCTGCAACATATTCTCTCAATCTCTTAAACTCTCTGAAGTACCATCAGACTGGAAAGTTGCTAACGTCATACCCGTTCATAAAACAGGCGATCGCCAACTAATCAGCAACTATCGTCCCATCTCGCTCACCAGCGTTTCATGCAAACTCTTGGAGCACATTCTCTATTCTAACATAATAAATTTCCTAGACTCTCATAACCTCCTTTTTAAGCACCAGCACGGATTTCGCAAGTCCTACTCATGCGAAACTCAGCTAACAGCATTTCTAACTGACGTTTACTCATATTTCGATTCCAATGTTCAAACTGACGCCATCTTTATTGACTTCTCCAAAGCATTTGACAGGGTCCCTCATCAACGTCTTTTAATGAAACTAAGAAATATTAATCTTCACCCCTCAGTAGTCAATTGGATTTCTGAATTTCTTACTAATCCCACACAGTACACTTCTATTAACAATATAAAATCTACCACAAGCGCAGTAATGTCTGGCGTCCCTCAGGGAAGCGTTCTTGGCCCCCTTCTTTTTTTAATCTACATTAATGATCTCCATCATTGCATCACTTCTGAAGTACGTTTGTTCGCCGATGACTGTGTCACATATAGACCCATTCATTCACGCCACGATCAGCTAACCTTGCAAAACGATCTCCAACTTATAATTCAGTGGTGTCATAAATGGCAAATGGCTTTAAACTATAATAAATGTAAATCGCTATCTTTATCCCGCAGTTCACATGTTCTATCCTCCTCTTACCACTTTTCTGGCATCCCAGTAACTGCTTGTTTATCGTATAAATATCTAGGAATTCATCTGACATCTGACCTGTCATGGACCACTCATATAACAACTGTCATCGCCGATGCTAACCGCACTCTCGGATTTCTTCGCCGCAACCTCAGACAAGCTACATCCCCCGTAAAACAACTAGCTTATACTACCTTGGTCAGAACTAAACTAGAATTCGCTTCTTCCATATGGTCACCGTGGCAGGCATACCTAACTAACAACCTGGAATCCGTTCAAAGCAGGGCCCTCCGTTTTATTTATTCCGACTATTCCCCATACGCAAGCATATCAGGACTTCGCCAATCAGCTAACCCTGACACTCTTTCTCACGGCCGCAGGGTGTCTCGTCTTTCTCTTCTTCATCGGATCTTTTATTACAACAGTCATCTCAGACAAAGTTTGTTATCACCTCCTTACCGCATTTTCCCTCGTCTCGACCATTCTTGTAAACTCCGTCCGATTTCATCGTCAACCGTCACTGACCAAAGGTCTACTCTACCATTGGCCATTGACGACTGGAACTCACTGCCTGACGTAATTGTTACCTTATCTGATACTAAGAAATTTTCTGCAGCCATTAGCTTATTTTTTCTAACCCATAACTAGATTACAGCGTGTTTTTGTAGATAAATTATTTTGTTACTTGTTTGTTTTTTAAGTGTTCACTCCCTTGTGTAATGCCCCCTGGGCCTTCAAGGAATAATAAATGATGATGATGATGATGATGATGATGATGATATGATGTTGGTAAATCAATGTTTGGATATTTTAATAAGTAAACGCTTGATGTTCTACGGTATGACGCAAAATCGCATCGTAGGCAAATTTTTTTTTTCACCTGTCCAGCTTTGATTTCGGTCTTGAGCGAGCGGTCATCCTTGCTTGAACTGCTAACCCCATTAAGCGCTATATGTAGCAGTTGTTCTTCGAACGCCACCAGAATAGAGCTCCAATGAGTTAAGAAAGAGATAAGACAAAGCTCTGGATAAGTTTCGTGAGCAGTGTTCTAAGGTTTGAACCCAAGATTCCATTGTTAAAAACCACCTGTAAATAGCGATGCTTCGTTTCATCGTAAGTTTGGGCGCAGTCTACGCCACGAGCCCACGAGACCAAACAAAATACGTCAGAAGTGCAATTTTATGATGTTCTTTACATTTTTGTTTGCATTATATCAACGCTTTACCCTATCCTTAACTCAGCTTTTAGAGTTTGTGTTCTAGGCTCTATGAGTTTATAGATTCGACTGCGCTCGTAGGTATGATCAAATGAGGTATAGATACCATGAAGCGTGAAAAATTTCTTACACTTATAAAAAGAAACAACTAATTAAAGCACGTTGTAGCAACCGTCTTGTAATTATATTATACGTACAACACATTTTTAACGGAAGTATAACTTGGCAGGTAAAAAACTATTAGAGAACTACAATGGAATATAAGTAAACCGTTATTGTAACGGATGGACATTAAGAGGTAAAACAAGACGCGAAGCCCGGTGAAGCGGTTCGCGTCCCAAAGAGAGGTCGACAGCCCTGTGCAACAAACACAGACTACAGTTGCAGGATTTCGAACGCAAAAATAAAGTTGTGATTGCGTCTCGGTATCCTTGTAAGTGCGAAATGATCATGTTACTGGTTTTACGGGTGGACTCTACTCCAGAGCGAAAGGCATTTACAAAAATTCAGCTAACATTAGTGCGAAATCGTAAAACTAAAGAGATTGTTATATTTCTCTAAGTTATTTGATACCTTGAGCACAGGTAATATTGATATGCGCGCTATTCAGTTGCCTAATATAATTCAGATTTAACTCCAAACATTTATTTGATGGAAATGTTTTGAACCGTCAACAGACACCACTTGTGCACAATATAGTTTTTCGCACCAACCTCCAGGAAGATGTACTGTGTCCAAGTTTCTTGAAACCATACAATTTCTCATATCCGAAAACAATATTTCGGGTTCGAATCTCCCAGGATTTGTTGATCCTGTTGAAACGTGTATGGAGCATTTTCACAGACAAATACTTACAGAAGCAAGATTACTGGAAATAAATTGGGTAGGGAGCAGTCTGTGATAACTTTCGGAATTTCTAAATTGAAGCAAAACCCCATGCTTTCCCGGCTACCAAGGAAAGTCACAATGCATACTGACTTAAAATGCTATCGGCGGCACAGATACCCAGCGAAGCAAGAGAAAAGCTGGCACTTAGCATACTAGCAACTATTCATATCACATATCTGGTATTAACACCGCCTACTTCCTAAAGCACATCAGCTTAATGATCAAAGAAAACCGCATCAATAGCTTGTCAAGTACAACGAAAAGAATCAGACACAGCCATCAAAGCTACTTGAATATGAACGAATTAAATTACGAATTCAAAATTTTTTTTAAAAATATTAAGGGTATTTCCGAATTCGTCGTTGATATAACTATAAAACTATACGTAACTGCCTACAGACCCAGCAAATAATCCGAAGTATACTCATAAGTCGAAATCCATTTTGTATGAAAATGCTTGGGACGTTATTTGTTATGCCATCGTTTCTTTGATTGAACGAATTGGGACTTAAGCGAAAATAAACTTGAGCTCACCTGGGTCTTTGGCCATAGAGATGTTATACCC